TCACTGGTGGCTGGTAGTCTTGTTTATCACCCTGTCTCCATAGTCTAACATGGGGCTCAGCATCTAGCAGGGACACAAGAAATGTTTTTTGAAGGAGTGAGCCGACAGGCCAGCTGAAGAGGCTTTGTAGTTTATATGCAAAGGAAAGCACGGACGCTGGGTTCAGAGCATGTGTGTCTTAGTTCCAGCTGTCGCCATTTGATAGAACAGCATGAAGTAAGCACCTACTATGGGCCAGGTGTTGGAGACCCAACAATGAACTCAGGGAATCCAGCCTGGCATATGGATGTTGAGGAGGGTTGACTGTCATGCCACCTTTGATTGCTTGGTGGGAGGCTGTACTGAGCAGGATTTGAGACTGTCGGGGATAATCCTTTGATCCATTAGCAATGTCTGCTACTGGCAAAGGATTAAGAAGTAGCAGCAATCTGGGCCATGCCTTGCCAAGTGAGGTTGGAGGGAGAGGCAGTCATGGAGTCATGGGAGCAGATACAATGTGAAAGGTGCTTTCATGGCAGCATGAACCCAGACCTGTGGGAGCCCAAAGCAGCAGTGAGTCACGCTGCCCGAAGCAGTCAGGGAACACTTGGCAAAGAGCATGACATTTGAGCTAGCATTTTGAAAATGAGTAGGACTTTGTCAGACCACGGAGAGGGAAGGGCATCCAGGGAAGGCAGCCTGTCACAAGGCTCTGCGCTGTTGGGGGACAAAGTGTATTTGGACTTGGGAAAGGTTCTCCCAGGCAGAGGGTGGGGTGTGTGAGGAGGGGCAGCCAGAGGGACGTGTTGCTCGTGACAGGCCAGCTTGCCTTCAGAATGAGTTCAGACTTGATCTTTGGTGACCTAAGCCATGTCTTTATCAAGAAACAGGGTCAGATTTGCCTACACTGAGGATGGACTGGAATAGTTTGAGGAAAGGTGGCCAGGATAGTCAGTTGGGGAGTTGTTACAATGATGCCCTGATTGCTGGGAGGGGCAGTAGGTTGGCATGAAGGAACTAGACTTGGAGAGGTGGGGGCTATAGTATTCAAAACCGGTTGGCATGAGCAGGGATAGAGAAAGATACCGAGAAGGGCTTTGAGTGTTCTGGCTCTTTCTTGTTAGCATCTTCTAGTATCTACAGGGGCCCTGCCCAGAGGTTGGTCCCCTTTATTCTATTTCTATAAACAAGCTAAAAATGGAGGCTGTCAGGTGGCATGGTGGTTAAGGGCACTAGACTCCCATATGGCTGACTACAGTTCGAGTCCCAGAACTGGCGGCTTGCTTTCTCACTCCCCCACCCCCTCTCTCTGTCGCTTTCTGGTCAAATTAAAATAAAGAAATAAATAAAGTTAGAGAAAATAATTCTTTAAAATAAAAAAAGAAACTAAAAAATTATTTCAAACAGGATGATATACACATTTGACTCACCTTAAACTCTCCTACCACAGAAGGATCTTCATTCTCATCTGATTTGCCTCGGTACAACTTGAAAGTATCTGAGAAGTCTGTCAGGCCCTCAAATTCTGGTACATCCTCTAGTTCACAGTTGTATATCTGAAAATCATCAATGGATTCTTAATTTCTCATTGAAATGCAGGAGGATTCTCAAGTCAAAAGAACTGACAATATCAAATGAGCATGAGGATGCAGATGGAGCAACTGGAACTCTCAGTGCAGCTGGTGGTAGTGTAGAATGACATAACCACTTTGGAAAATGTCTGGCAGTTTCTTATGGAGTTAAATATGATCGAGAAATTGTGTACTTAGGTATTTACCAAAGAGAAATGAAAACATGTCCACCTAGTATAAGAATGTCGAGAGCAGGTCCATCTTCAAGAGAATGGATATAAAAATTGTGGCATATCTGAACAATGAAAGGGACAAACTACTGAAACACATGGCAACATGATCAATCTCAAAACACAATGTGGGGATAAAGACATATACAGAATACACACGATATGAGCTCATTTATATTAACTAAAAAATAAGCAACACCAATCTATGATGATAGAAATCAGATCAGCTGCCTCGTGGAGAGATGAGGGTTGTGGGGAATTGACTGATAAGGGGCATGAAGGAGCTTGCTGTAGTAATGGAAATGTTCTTTGTCTTGTTTGGGGCAGTAATTTACATAGGTGATGCAATTATTAAAACTCATTTACTGATGGGGCCGGCAGGTGGCATGGTGGTTAAGGATGCCGGACTCCCACATGGCCGACTATGGTTTGAGTCCTGGACCTCGTGGCTTGCCTTCTCACTTCCTCTCTCTCTGGCTCTGTCCCTCTCTAGTCAAATTAAAATAAATAAATGAATAAAGTTAAATAAGATAATTCTCTAAAAACAAACAAACAAACAAACAAAAAAACCTCATTTACTGAATTGTGAGTTCAAAGCCACTGGATCCGGGACTTGAACAGTGGTCGGACATGTGGGCGTACAGCATTGTAACCGCTACACCATCTGCTGGTCCCCCACTGGTGTTTCTTAAGCTACATTAACATGTGATGACAATAACATAAAAAGATGTGGGCTTTTTCATCTCGATGGGGACAGTTCCTTTAATGACTAGGTCTCATTTTTTTCTTTGTTTGGAAAACTTTAATATTCACTTCTATGTGAGTGCATTATAGGCTGGAAAGTTGAATGTAGGATGGCAAACTCAGAACATGAACAGAAAGATCACAGCCAGCCAGCCTTGCCTAGCTTCATAGCTTGTCTTCCTCCTGGAGGACGTGCCCGAGGTGTGAGGCTGTGCTGAATGCATAGGACAGAATCGACTCTGCAGCTGGTGACACCTGTCCTTGTCCAGAGAACAGAATGAAGCACGCTGACATCTCATGTTGTTCTGAAAAGAGCATATGACTTCCTGGCCCCTGAGTAAGGCTTGACCATTTTGACCTAACCAGTGTGATGCCAACTTATCCTCAATTCTCTGCCATAGGTCCCAAGTGCTGAAGTGACGGTCACATAGCCATAACTTGATAGCTGTCCTCCAGCTCCCAGAATCTTGGCAAGGTCAAAACCTACTATAAGAGTTCTCACCAGAAGACCAGAAGTATCCCCTCCCCGCTTCCCCTCGACGCCCACTCTGGGACCTCCTGGTCATCTCAGTTCTCCCTGTGGCATTTTAACCGATGTTGAGTCCCTCACTCACAGCAGCGGGGACACAGGTACCTTGAGTTTGGAGTAGCCTTTTTGAATGTATTGTCCACATTTTTCATGTTCCCCCGAGGAAGCATAAAATTTACTCCACCAATCAACGATTTCTTCTTCCTACGGACATGACAAACGGAGGGAGAAGCCTTTAGTGAGAACTTGGATTTCCAATCCATGCAGAAAAACCCAAATGTAATAGATGAATAACAGGTACTCTGCTCCTGTCCTAGAGGAGATTGCAAGACTCTGGTGTACATGCACAGTGGACAAGGCAGTCACACTCCCCTGTCAGGAGCCGGGGGTGAAATGACCACCCTGGGCCAAGGAAGTGCGTTTGGCTTTCATGGCCGCAGCTCTACCAGATGACTTTCTCGTGGCCCATCGACACACTCTATTGACTGTGTTTCCTTTTTTATCCTATTGATTTGAGATCATATACTTATACAAATAAAACCTCCACGTGTTTTCCATGATCTCATTTTCTTAGCCTTTTTAGTCAGAAATGCATTGTAATAGAAAGTTCACTAAGCTGCAGGTTGGAAAAATGGGTTCAACTCAAATTCTGTTCTTCCTTTTTTTTTTTTTTTTCCTTAGAAGATA